TTTATTTTAAAGTTTGTGAATATGGTCTTAAACTCACGCGTGACACAACAAAAACACAATCAGAATACATAAGCATCCAGACATAATTACACACACACACACACACACACACACACAAACATACACACACACTAAAAAAAAAAAAAAAAGGAGAGGTGGGGGGAATACATGAACATCTCTACAACCCTTTATGAAAAAAGGAGACGTGGAAACTAACACTTATACACACACACAGTTAAATGTGAATACACTCTACATACACATAGACACCGATATATACACATGCATACATCCACAGACAATGGCATAGACATTGATAAATCACAACCAGTAAATATTTCAGACTTAAATAAATGCTAACCACTTATTGGATTATAACTTAAGGGAGCAAATATACAAAGATAAAAATGTTTAAAATAATATTATTTAATATATTAAAACGAAAATTCTAAAACCATAAATATCAATAAAAATATATATATTATTAATCATATAAGTTGATAATAGTTTCATTATATATTTGGCAAAGAAAAACAGGATAAAGAAATCCACAAATATATACATATATATATATACACGGCAGCAAAATCAAAATAACACACATAAATATATACTCATACATACATATACATACAGAAATACATACAAATAAATATATAAACATAACTACGTACATGTAATACGTACATATACATATCTATGATAACAAGTACACATGTACGCACATACACATATAAACCTAAATACACACACATATATACACATAGACTTTTATGCACACATACTTAGATATATAAAAAAACAGTCATGATATACCAAAGTTTCCATACCCACACATACACACAAACAAACTCATACATAATAGGTGCCAACACACACACATATATATATACATACACAAACATACATAAATATATATACACACATACATACATATCTACAAATAAACATATATATATAAATAAATATATCTATCTACAATAACAACTACTCATATATACATGCATACATAAAAATACAACAACATTCAACCAAATACATATATGCATACATATATATGTGTATATATATATATATATATATATATATATATATATATATATATATACAAACAGATTCATTAAGACATGTCTCATTGAATAATTCAGACAGGTTTTATCTGCTTATTTTCAATAGGATCCTCTCATATTCACGAACAAACTTCTTACTATCCTTATTAAGTAATAATTTTTGTTTTGTTTTTTAATCATATAGACATTTCAAAATTTACTTAAATCGTGAAATTAAAATCGTATAGTACATAACCTTATCGTTTTTCACTTCACAGTTTCTGTCTTAGAAAAGGCAACACTCTGACATTGGGCTAATGTCGAAAGTAATCGGAATATATGAATATGTATCAATTCTCCCTCTTCCTTTAAAAATGCTACCAAGAATCTTATATATATATATATATATATATATATATATATATATATATATTGCAATATGAACTCTGGTAAAGACATGCTATGATAACAGCAAAATTGCAATATTAGCACTGGTAAAAAATGATGCTGAAAACATTAGGTTTATAATACTCAGAAGTTCATACCCAGATGTCCTCAAGGACACATGGCACAGTGGATAAAGGCGTTGGTTAGATCCAGTGACAGGACCCAAAGAAGGTGAGTTCAATACTTTCAGAGGGAAAATTAGCAGGAGAACTGATAACTGACATCCATCAAACATGGCACGTGAAACTAGAACAGTCTACCCCAGTGATCGAAATAAAGGGTTCAGTTCGAAATTCCAACCACCTGAAGAAGGCCGGAGCGTACAACGGCCGAAACGTTCTGACAAATATGGCGACAAAGATGAGGACAATAGTATGACTAATGTAAATACTATATATATATATATATATATATATATATATATATATATATATATATAAAATATATATATATGCTTTTTTTATGTATTATTTAAATATTATATATGCGCAGTACTTATTTGGGAAGCATTTAATATCAGTGATAGAGCTAACATATTTAGTTGGTGAGTTTGTGACCCTGGGTTTCACGCTATCCGCGATCGTAAGACGAACTGATTAATTTTTAAAATCATATATGGTTGCGTATATCAATCCAACTATATATATATATATATATATATATATATATATATATAGAGAGAGAGAGAGAGAGAGAGAGAGAAAATTTATAACAAACATGTTATAAAATCACTACAAAAATAGCCATTTTGTTTCAACACTCCCGATGTCTTATCAAGTGATGATGTTGAATGCAAAGCAAATGGTTTTTAACAATATATATATATATATATATATATATATATATATATATATATGTATATAAATAAAAAGAAAGAACAGTAAGATATAAAATCCGGTGTTCTTATAGATATTTTATTTTTACAAAATAGTGCTCAATGTAAATTTACAGAGCATTAATATTATAAATTAATTGATTTAAAATATGGTTATTTTCGCTACACAGTTCAAGCGAATTCGTTTGAAGATGAAATGGAACTAATGCTTTTAATTTATTTGCAAAAATAAAATTAGGGGTTTTTAGCTTCTATTTTTGAAACATGGTTGGAACTGTGTAGCGAAAATAACCATATTTTAAATCAATTAATTTATAATATATATATATATATATATATATATAAAAGAATTAAAACCTGACAGTTATGTTATCATGCAAACGTCAGACCAACTGTTCCACCGGGACTCGTTGACGAAGTAATTGCAAATCAGACTCAATATAGCGCCGCTCGCTCACATATTCCGTGGTGGAACTCATACTGAGTTCTCTGTAACCATAGGACTGTGCCCCCAGGAAACGCAACGACTATCAGCAAGGCGCTCAAACTTGAGCACTAGAGTGAGCGGCGCGATATTGAGTTTGATTTGCTACCTCTTGGTATGACGTTTGCATGATAGCCTAACTGTTCGGGTTTCAATTCTCGGTAGTGGATGTGCACTTCTGAACAGTCCCAAATATAGGACAAAACGGCTGTCCAGTGCTTTCTGCATTCTCTTGAGGTTTCTTCTAGACTCGATGAATTACTTAATTATAATTATCAAATCCTCCTAATAATTTCTATCATTTGTATGTCATTGCTTGAACCGTCTTCTAATGCTCTAAATATATTGAAGAAACAGCAGAGCAGATATGGCAACAATATTCATAAGCTAAACCAGTGTTTCTCAACAATTTTTAATTCGGGGCCCACATGTCGAATGACTAAAACACTTGGGTGGGCTTTCAATATTCATTAGGAAAAATAAGTCATGAAATTTGAAAATAATAAAGATGTTTTCTAAAATAAGCATTTATTTTTAGGATATTACATTGTATATTTAAGCGATAGAGTTTTCATTTAGATGTATTTATGAAGAATCTGCTATTTTTCTATTTAGAGAGACCGATAATTATTGATTTACATCCGTCGAGGAAGGCAACAAGGAAAGGATTATCCACTCCGTCTTAAAGATTAAGGAATTTAGCATCGAGTTTAAAATATAAAATGACAAAGGCCTGACCTAGATATGGAAGTCATATGATTGGTTTCTTTAGACATTTTAGATATAAAAATAATTAATAAAATACATTTCTGTTAACTAGGGACGAACCAGGTTACTTTTCAGGGCGGATTAGTGTGACCCCGCGCACCGGTTGAGAAATATTATAAGTATAACAACCAAGATGAGAATGCTGGTCCGATTAGCAAAGCAAATAATAATTCTTCATCTCAAGAATTCAGACTGAAAATGATCAAATCGGTAATAGCCGAAACATTGTTAGTATGACAATCAAGATGAGAATACTGGTCCGAAGAGCAAAAATATAATAATGATAATTTCTCATCTCAAAAAATCAGACCAAAATGATCGAATCTGTAACAGCCGAAATATTGTTAGTATAACAAACAAGAGGTTCCGCAAATTGGAGGGGAGAGTTATCAATGATAATGTTCTGACTTCAAATCCACACTTATCTCCCTTTAACTCTCTCCCTGTTTATTTTTTATTTTTAAATGTACCTTTTATCAAATAAAGATTTATCTGCTCAAAGTAAATATGATTTCAAAATTTTAAAGATTATTATAGATTACTTGTAATTACATGCATGGGTTTCAGTAAAAAAAAATAGTTATAAATAATTATTGGCCGATTTTGTAATTGTGATATTTTTGCATTATATCAAATATTAAGAATATAGTAACTGGGGTCTGCAAATTGGAAGAGAGAGTTATCAATAATAATGTTCTGAGTTTGAATCCGCGGTTATCTCCCTTTAACGCTCTGTCTGATATTTTTTTTTTTTTCAAATTTACTTTTTATCACATAAAATCCGGTGAAAATGCGGCCCAGAGAAAAATGGTTGGACATAGAGAATACCAAAAATGGTGCTCAAGCAACAGGTATTTTTCTTTTTGAGGGGGGGGGGTGAAGTAAATTGAAAGATTGTTTTTTTTATTTTTTTCGTTATTTCATATTCTTTCACACTCAGTACACCTTTGCGTCTTAGTGGCTTTATTGCCTTGTTTGGAGTGAAATGATTAAAAAAAAGGGATGTTGCTAGCTATTACTCTGCTGTAGTTGCCTTGAGAATAGTTACGACGCTTCGAAATGTGCAAGCCTGCATTGTGAGGATTTGACACACCCACTCCAATACTGACTTGCAAATCATTGCTGAACGCTAGGCACCAAGCGTTCTCTGCGGGTCTGTATGCAAAACTTCCTTTGTCTTCATTTCACTGAGTTATTCTCTCCCTATCTTGATTAGAGCACCAACTCCCTACCGCGCCTGGGTGTGTGTAGTTGTGGTTGGTATTGGGGTGGGGGAGACGTCGTGTCAAATTCTGGCCATGATTTTAGAATGAATTAGTTGTATTTGAAAAGTATCATTATCTAATTTACGGACGTGCAAGTATGCGTCATTCGGGGCAGGTTTGCTTTGTTTTTCGTTTCGCTGGAAGGCCGAGAGTCACGAAGAGCATTCAGGAAGGGGAACAATTTGGTTTCCCCATGCATCAGCGGAATTGTTTCCAGCTTGACTCGAAAGGCAAACAGATAGATAGATAGATAGATAGATAGATAGATAGATAGATAGATAGATAGATGGGAAGAGAATGTGATAGATAGATAGATAGATAGATAGATAGATAGATAGATAGATAGATAGATATGAGTACAATGAGATAGATAGATAGGAACAGAATGAGATAGATAGATAGATATGAGTAGAATGAGATAGATAGATAGATAGATAGATAGATAGATAGATAGATAGATAGATAGGAACAGAATGTGATAGATAGATATATAGATAGCTAGATAGATAGATATAGAGAATGAGATAGATAGATAGGAACAGACTGAGATAGATAGATAGACAGACTGAGATAGATAGATAGATAGATAGATAGATAGATAGATAGATAGATAGGAACAGAATGTGATAGATAGATAGATAGATAGATAGATAGATGAATGAATAATGAGATAGATAGATAGATAGATAGATAGATAGATAGATAGATAGATAGATAGATAGATGAAGATAGATAGGACATCGGGACATCGGAGGATAAGAATTCACTGAGATTTATATTAAGGAACTGATATATATATATATATATAAATATATATAGAGAGAGAGATAGAGAGAGAAAGAGAGAGAGAGAGAGACAGACAGACAGACAGAGAGAGGGAGAGAGACAGAGACAGACAGAGACAGAGACAGACACAGAGGGGGATGGAGATAGATAGATAATGAAGAACGGGTGATGAGAAGTCACTGATAGACAGGTATGAACATAGGAAATTGCAAGTCCCTGATATATATATATATATATATATATATATATATATATATATATATATATATATATATATATATATTCGCATTAACCAGGAAATCAAATAGAAGTGAAATGAAAATATTTCAAATAAAGGAGTAAGAAAAAAACGATAAAGAAAAGTCAAATTTCGGGAGGAAAGAAATAATGTCATACAAAGAAAAAATATAAGCGACCAATCAGCGAAAGTATATAAAAAAGAAGGTTCGTTAAGAGAAAAATAGAAAAAAAAGAGAGAGAGAGAGAGAGAGAGGTGGGATGGGAGCGGAGAGAGAAATAAAATGAATACGAAAGCTAGAAATAAGGGAAAAAAAACTAAAGAATATAAAGTTTCTATAAATTTAAGCAATCTGGATGCCATAATTCATTTAGGATATTGACGTTGTCCTTGTCTTCTTTAGGGCTGCTGTCTTTCGACAAATATTGAGGAAGTTCGGTTTAATGAAAGATATCAATCAGAAGAAAGACGCTTTAGAATTGGCAATATATTGGAATGTTTGCACCTTTTGGCCAATGTTATTTTGTTTCTTCCTTCAACCTAATTTTTTAACAAACGCTAGAACAATGACGACTTGTTGTAGAGTAGCTAGCAGCCCTTCAGCACTCTACCAGATGCCCTGACTCATAGCCTTAAATAGTGTATGATTAAGTACTTTAACAGTTGATTACTAAGTTGATTAATTGATAGTTGATACTTAATATTCGGACTGATCTTACTTCGTTTGGCTACACAGTATTTAATCCCTCCTCTATTCCTTGTAAGTTGTCTTGTGAATTGTTTTCTTCTGTGTTTTTGTATGTATCCGTTAGCACCGGATACTGGTGCTGAATAAATATATTAATCACTCATTCTTCTCTGTGTATCATTCACCTCGACGATACAACAAGAGTGAGTAGTGCTATCGATCCTCATTGGGTGCCCCTTTCAACTTTGTGCCAAATCTAAGCTGCGCTATATATATAGTGATTTTCTAAAATCATATATATATATATATATATATATATATATATATATATATATATATATATAATGGAGTCTTCCGTTGGTTTCGACGTACGAGGATCTGACAAAGTAATTGATTCAGTTATGATATTTTGCACGAGAATCTTAAGTGGCATTTAAGACCCGCTAGTGATTTACAAAGGAGGTAGAATATGGAGCAAGAGTAAGTACTGTGGGATGAGACCACTGTTAGATTGGCTGTCCTTTTAGATCTTGCTCTCGCTTCTTGAAGACGATTCAGACAAGCCGACTGAAAACTGCTGAGTCCACTAAAACACGGACTTAGGTCTTAAGAGACCGCTGGGGCTCATAGAATTTACAGGGTGCAACTTCATTGCATATGTTCGCCAACACCCAGTGTGTATGAGACAAAAAAGATATCCCGTATATGCTGGCGTACAAGGCGACTGAAAGTATAAGACGACACCCACATTTTCAAGTTAAAATATAGATTTCGGGTTATGGTCAGCGTACAAGACGACCCCTACCCAAAATTCTATTTTAAAATGAATTGCATTGAATTTATTAAATGACTTCAGTAAGCATATACTTTTGTAAAAACGGTTTACAGAGGGCCTTTTGAATATGCTTTCATTTTTCGTCGTGCAATCATTCCATATATAATGTCAGAGTATTATATATATATATATATATATATAATTTATATGTATGTATATAATATAAGAGTATTTATTACATGATACTTTCATTATTTTATTATAATAATGTTAATTAAGTTGTTTCAGCGGAAAATATTTGTGTTGATTGCCGAAAAAAATCTCCCATGCTAACAACCTACCATAAACCACAGCACTCACATTTTATAGCTAGAGTATAAGACAGACCCCTATTTTAGAGGGGAATTTTTAAGGTTAAAAGGTCGCCTTGTACGCCGATATATACGGTATTTTAAGAAGATTGTTTTTGGAAAAAAAAAATGAAACAGTTCAACTAAAACCCATCCAATTTACTTCATTAGCAACTTCTTTATATATTTTTTTTGTATCCAAACATTATGTTGTAACCTAGAAAGTGTTACGGAATGAAGAATAAACAAAACGGGGGTTGGAAATGAAATGATAATATTTATAAGATCAACAAAATACAATACTCGCCAGCGGCGTGAAATAGGTAAACCACTGCTAGGGGTGGACTACGTAGACATCATATTACCCCCACTTAGAATAGTGTCTAACGTATTTATGGGGATTGGAACATGCACATTAGTACGGTATATTATACATATTAGGTACGGTATATAACACTTTACATACTACAGAAAATGTATCTAGAATGAATGACCTGTATTACACTGAAATTCTAGTATTCAAATTCACGAGCAAAGCTTGTAAAATAAGAACAGGGAAGTTTTTTTTTTTTTTAATAATTGATTATGCAAAATCGTTTGATAAAATACGTCACTAAGAATACATATAAATTATATACATTTCAAGTTATGGTCAGCGTAAGAGTAGCCGTTTCCTTATAAGGAAACATTTGTCATTCATTAACCCACACGCCAGTTCCTGCTAGTTAAATTTGGCATATTTGGGCAAGAAAAATCCAGAACCTAAAATAGCAGCACACCGCCTGCATATAGATAGAGAATATATTCAGTTAATATACAAAAATTAGAAAAGATTTTAAGACGTGGGTGTGTCTTTTCAGCGGACTTATTCAACCTATACAGTGAGGCTATTCTGAAAGAATTAGAATTCCTACAACGATTCATTATTGGCGGACACAGTCTTAAAAACATAGGATATACATATGACACAGTGTTGACAGCAAACGCAAAAAAGAAATTTAGAGGTATTAAAGGAAAGAGAGAAGAAAGGACTAAGCATCAATTGCAAGAAGACCGAAAAAAACAACAGCCAAACATGCAGATTACAATATCTGTCTGTATCTCTGAGATGAGGTATCATGATTATTTACATTATTTACATTATTCGGACTTTTATTCTCATCTTCATTGCCATATTCACAACGTTTCGGCCGTTGTACGCTCCGGTCTTCTTCACGATATGTCTATATCCCAGAGACGAGGTATCATGATTATTTACATTATTCGGACTGTTATTCTCATCTTCATTTCTTTATTCACAACGTTTCGAACGTTTTACACTTCGCCCTTCTTCATGTGATTGGAATTTCGATCGAACCCTTTATTTCGTCCGCCGGGGTAGACTGTTCTATTTCCACGTGTCATGCCTCTTCTGCAACAATGGCCCAGTGGATAAAGGCGTTGGTTAGATCCAGTGACTAGACCTAAAGAGTTGTAAGTCCAATACCAGTAGTGGTGAACAAAAAAAAACTTGGAGATTTGAGTTGAAATGAAATAACTGACATATCCTGAAGAGGTATGGCACGTGGAACTAGAACAGTCTTCCTCGGTGGACGAAATAAAGGGTTCGGTTCGAAACTCCAATCAGCTGAAGCAGGCCGGAGCGTACAACGACCGAAATTACAAATTGGATATGTCAGAATCACGCAAGTATAACAGATTGAATATCAAGGAAATATTTTAAAAGCGGGCGGAATATGCTACACCGTAATTCGAAGGCGTTTTGGAATTTAGCGATAATGAGAACAGATACTACACTTTGATACGAGCCCGATTGCCAGGCTTAGATAAAAGTGTAATTCGCGTCGTCCTGGTGAGTTGGTTAATAAATGACGAATGTTTCCTTATAAGGAAATGGCTACTTTTATCATGACCATTAGAAATGATAAGAACAGATACTATACCAGCCTGACTGCCAGGTCGTAAATAAAAGAGTAATTCGTATCCTCCTGGCGAGTCGGTTAATGAATGACAAATGTTTCCTTATAAGGAAACGGCTACTCTTACCATGAACATTATAGATGAGGGAACAGATACTAGACTTTGATCCTGCATTTATGGCCAAGTAAAAAATAAAAGTGTAACTCGACTAACACTGGCTACTTGGTTAATGAATGACGAATGTTTCCTTATAAGGAAACGGCTACTCTTACCACGACCATTAAAGATGAGGGGAACAGATACTAGACTTTGATCCTGAAATGATGTCCAAGTAATAAATAAAAGCGTAACTCGACTAACACTGGCTACTTAGTTAATGAATGACGAAAGTTTCCTTATAAGGAAACGGCTAATCTCAACATTAGATCTGATGAGAACTGTTGCTACAGTTTGATCTCAATTCAGTGGCCAAGGACTGGAGAAAAACGTAAGTCGAGTAGCACTGGCTACTCAATCAATTAATTTTGAATGTTTACTAATAAGGAAACGGTACTCGTAACACGACCATTACAGATGAGGAGAACATATACTACACTCTGATCCTGGACAGATGGCCAGACAGTAAAAAGAATCGAGCACCTGCTACTCGGTCAATGAATAACGAAGGTTATCATTGCTACTGTATTTCTTCTGTTGCGTTCCGATGTTCTCCGCTGGCGATAACCAGCCTGTCGATCCGTACCACGAATATAATTTTCAGTTCCAATTTCTAAGAAAGGAAAATGTCACTGCCAGATTAGACATCAAGAGAGGCATAGGAAATTGAAACGACTGTTTTTTTATGTTATATATATTTTTTATGTTATAAATTTTTATTTATTTTGTTCTTACTATTTTTCTCTGCGTCAAAGCTATAAGACCAAATGTCTGACTTTCCTTTTTAAAAGCAATCTAGTTTCATGACCTACGCAGGAGATATTATCAGCCAGATTCTTCTCAATATTTAAATTAGACGTTTCTGTTTATGGGTCACAGTCGGTCAGAACAAGATTACACATCTTACCTTCGGGCTCCCGTCTTGGTGTTAGGCTTAACAAGGTTCTCTTTCAAGATATTACATCTGAGTCGTAAGTACGATTCTCAGTGGATATTATTCACACGTGATCAACATTTCGACCGTTGGGCCCTCCAGCCTTCATCAGTGGAGTTCGAATTGAACAATTTTATTTAATTTACAGAGGTAAAAGGTTCTCGCCCAACTAAACACTGCCCCAGTCAAGAGTCACTATGTCAGCAAATTCACGAAGCAGCACTAGGCTATTTTCTTGTGTGACAATTCCGAGTGCAGAACTTGGAGACTTAAGCCTAAGCTGCCTGCTGCTGAGGACTATTGCTGCTGCTACTTGTCACACTTGACTGCACTGACCATGGTTTCATTATTTATGCGTTGAAACCTTTTTTTTTTATCAGCTCACTCCAAGAAAGGCGATAACGCCACAAACGAGGTCTCTTTAAATGGAACCGGAAACCCAATCCTAAACCGGAAACAAGGGATAAACCTCT